GTACTGAATTAGGTCTAGAATGATGTGTGCTAAGTTTCGTGAAAATCGGTTCAGATTTAGATATAGCTCCCATATATATTTTCATCCGATTTAAGGTAAAAGGACCACCAAAGTCCCTATATATCTTTCGATTTGCACGAAATTTGGCACATCGTAATGAATTAGGTCTAGAATGATGTGTATTAAGTTTCCTGAAAATCGGTTCAGATTTAGATATAGCTTCTATATCTGATCAAATGAAAAATTTAGTATCCGTTGCAGAATGACATGTTTATGGATCCAATTTCATTTTAATGGTATTTTATAAATGCGACGGCTGTTAGGATTCCATCTATACCCAAAGTGGTGAAGGGTAGCATATAGTCGGTCCCGTCCGAATTTACTACTTTCCTTACTGGTTTAAAAATATTTTTGAAGTCCCACAATAGGCGTGGATTTCTTTTAATTATTTTTGAGGTTTTACCAAAGGCTTGGATTTTTTCAAAATTATTTTTCTTTATTTAAATCTTTTTGTATGAAAAAAATTATTTTTTGTTTTGAACCTTGAAACTTCCATGTAATCCTATTACATTTTATTTTCATGTACATGATTGTAATCTGCCTGACCCTCCAATGACATATCGTATCGTACATATCTGTCCATATATGTTTGTGTATAAATATATTTTCTCATGTTATTGTCTCTGTCTACAATTTCCGACATTTTTATATTTTAAACCGATTTTCAGCTTTACACTTCTTCTCTGTGTGGTCGTCTTTCATATAATTTTGTGTTGAACAACAAAGTGTTGTTTCGAAATAAAACGTGTCTTGAATAAGACACAACTGATTTGTCGGAATATGTTGTAGTTGTTGTTGTCGATGTTCTCTATACCAGAACATGCGGTTTTTCCATTTTCTCTTTTGGAGATGGAAATGAAACAACTCAAAAAATATCCAACCGGACAAAATTCAACAAATTCCTGTAGCAATCGTAATGGTTGTGTGTGTGAGTGTTGGTTTAGTGGTTGCCTGTATGTGTGTGTGAGAGTGTCTGTGTCTTGGTGTTGGTCATTTTGTGTTAAAGAAAATATTTTTTGTTGGTTTTCTTTCATTTTTTTCTAAATACAATTTTTGAGAAATAGATTCGTTGTAGTTGTACAAACAAATGACACAATCTGCAGGTTTCGATGTCCATGCAGGATGCCACAGACACATCCTGTTCGTGTTGTGTCCGTTTTGGACAAATGGTTAAGTAAATGTTACTAAGCCAGCCATATCGGACACAATACACGAATGTTCGGTCAATAAAATCCACAATGAAATTGTCTAACACAGCTAGGCAAAAACATACAAAGACAACAACAACAATAACAATTTCCAAAATCGGACCACAACAACAAATATTTGCAAAAGTCTCAATAGTGGAAGGAGAGAACACAAACAAAGAAATAGAAGTAGAATCGAAGGAGGTAAAAGGGTTCCGAGTAGCAACACCACCACCATGGGGATATGCCATTACAAAAAGGATAACTGCTGATGTCAGACCACAATTGAATTCGAACGGGCAGTAGCCATGGATACTACAACAACAACTTCTTGAGACAATGGTCCTTAAATAAGGACGAACAATAACATTTATTTTTTAATATTTATTTAATACCACTTCTTCTACTTCTTGCTCATTTTTTCGGGAGGTAAGTTTTGGGATATGATATGGCACTTAAGGGTCAATATAAATATTGACTGGTTAGGCAAACAATTGAAGGTCGATAATCTTTACGAATAAACAGACAACAATATAAAAAACCAGTAAGGAAAGTAATAAAGTCGGACGGGGCCGACTATATGATACCCTTCACCACTTTGGGCATATTCAACAGATGAATCCTAACAGACGTTGCATTTTTAAAGGACCAGAAAAATGGAATTGGATCCATAAACATGCCATTCTGCAAGCGATACCAAATTTTTCATTTGGTCAGATATAGAAGCTATATCGAAATCCGAACCGATTTTTACGAAACTTGGCACACGTCATTATTGACCTAATTCAGTACTCTATGCCAAATTTCGTGCAAATCGATAGATATTAAGGAACTTGGGTACACCGTTTACCTTAAATCGGAGGAAAATATATATGGGAGCTATATCTAAATTTGGACCGATTTTCACGAAACTTGACACATATAATTCTGGACCTAATTCAATACTCTGTGCCAAAATTCGTGTAAATCCAAAGATATATAGGGTCTTTGGTGCACCATTTACATAGAATCGGACAAAACTATATATGGGAACTATATCTAAATCTGAACCGAATTTCACGAAACTTAGCACACATCATTCTGGACCTAATTCAGTACCCTATGCCAACTTTTGTGCAAATCGTATGATAAATAGGGACTTTGGTCCACCGTTTACATAAAATCGGACGAAAATATATATGGGAGCTATATCTAAATCTAAACCGATTTTCACGAAACTTAACACACATCATTCTAGGCTCAATTCAGCACGCCATGCCAAATTTGGTTCAAATCGAAATATATATAGGGACTTTGGTACACCATTTACATAAAATCGGCCGAACATATATATGGGAGCTATATCTAAATCTGAACCGATTTTCTCGAAACTTGGCACAGGTCATTATTGACCTAATTCAGTGCTTTATATCAAATTTCGTGCAAATCGAATGATGTATTGGGACTTTGGTGCAACATTTACATTAACTCGGACGAAAATATATATGGGAGCTATATCTAAATCTGAACCGATTTTCACGAAACTTAGCACACATCATTCTGGACTCAATTCAGTACTCTGTGCCAAATTTCGTGCAAATCGAAAGATATATAGGGACTTTGGAGACCCATTTACCTTAAATCGGGCGAAAATATATATGGGAGCTATATCTAAATCTGAACCGATTTACTCGAAACTTGGCACACATCATTCTAGGCCAAATTCATTACGCTGTGCCAAATTTCGTACAAATCGAAAGGTATCTAGGAACTTGGGTGCATCATTTACCTTAAATCGGACGAAAATATATATGGGAGCTATATCTAAATCTGAACCGATTTTCTTGAAACTTTGCACACATCATTCTACACTTCATTCAGTACGCTGTCCCAAATTTCATGCAAATTGAAAGGTATATTTACATAGAATCGGACAAACTATATATGGGAGCTATATATAAATCTGACCCGATTTTCTCCAAACTTGGCACACGTCATTCTTGACCTATTTCAGTACTTGATGCCAAATTTCGTGCAAATCGAAAGATATATGGGGACTTTGGTACACCATTTACCTTAAATCGGACGAAAATATATATGGGAGCTATATCTAAATCTGAACCGATTTTCTTGAAACTTAACACACATCATTCTGGACCTAATTCAGTACCCTATGCCAAATTTCGTGCAAATCGTATGATAAATAGGGACTTTGGTACACCATTTACATAAAATCGGACGAAAATATATACGGGAGCTATATCTAAATCTAAACCGATTTTCACGAAACTCAACACACATCATTCTAGGCTCAATTCAGCACGCCATGCCAAATTTGGTTCAAATCGAAATATATATAGGGACTTTGGTACACCATTTACATAAAATCGGTCGAACATATATATGGGAGCTATATCTAAATCTGAACCGATTTTCTCGAAACTTGGCACACGTCATTATTGACCTAATTCAGTGCTTTATATCAAATTTCGTGCAAATCGAATGATGTATTGGGACTTTGGTGCAACATTTACATTAACTCGGACGAAAATATATATGGGAGCTATATCTAAATCTGACCCGATTTTCACGAAACTTAGCACACATCATTCTGGACTCAATTCAGTACTCTGTGCCAAATTTCGTGCAAATCGAAAGGTATAAAAGGGACTTTGGAGACCCATTTACCTTAAATCGGACGAAAATATATATGGGAGCTATATCTAAATCTTAACCGATTTTCACGAAACTTGGTACACATCATTCTAGACGTAATTCATTACGCTGTGCATAATTTCGTGCAAATCGAATGATATATAGGGGCTTTGGTCCACCGTTTACATAAAATCGGACGAAAATATATATGGGAGCTATATCTAAATCTGAACCGATAAACTTGGCACACATCATTCTAGGCCAAATTCATTACGCTGTGCCAAATTTCGTGCAAATCGAAAGGTATCTAGGAACTTTGGTGCATCATTTACCTTAAATCGGACGAAAATATATATGGGAGCTATATCTAAATCTGAACCGATTTTCTTGAAACTTTGCACACATCATTCTGGACCTTATTCAGTACTCTATGCCAAATTTCGTGCAAATCGAAGGATATATAGGAACTTTGGTGCACCATTTACATAAAATCGGAAGAAAATACATATTGGAGCTATATCTAAATCTGAACCGATTTTCATGAAACTTAGCACACATCATTCTGGACCAAATTTAGTGCCCTATGCCAAATTTCGTGCAAATCGAAAGATATATAGGGACTTTGGTGCCCCATTTACCTTAAATCTCCAGCTTGTTTTGATTTTTGAAAAATATTTCCCACTTTTATTACACTCTCCTCATTCCCCTCTCTTTTCATCCTTTTGCACGAACTTAATTAGAATTGTTCCCTTAGTTTCAAGTCTTCCCCACAAACATCATTCAGCAGCGAATAAATTTTCATTTATTACATCCTTGTGTGGTCATCATCCAGGACAGCTTCAAACATGACAACAGCAATTGTGTTTGCGTGTGTGTGTCTGCATGTGTATGAGTGTTAATCAACTTCTAGCCACCGTCAAAAAAGAAATCAGGTGAACTGACCAGAACTTTGATGAACAGAACTTTTACGCCACATTTGCATTTTTTTAATAAACACCTCAAATGGAAACTATGCCAAATTATGACGAGGGGGGTGGTTGGCAGAAAGGACACCAAAGGATGTGTTTAAAGCAAAACGATTCACAATTTTTTGGTTGCGGAACAAAAATGATTTTTATTGCCACTTCAAAAGTTTACAAAATCCAATTCACGCTGTAATCTCAGGGTCAATGTAAGTTTCTCCATATCCCGGTCATATTTGGCACGACAACGATCCACATTCACAGGATGGCTTAAGGGTAGCTTTAGGCGATAAATTGCCGTCGATAGGTCCACCTCAGTTGCGGTTATTGATAACTGCATTTTATCGGATGGCGTTGAGTCGCCGGCAAGGAAAATTTCCACAATTAAATCTTCACAGCTTGCCGAGGCATTGGTGCGATTACCCATGGCAAGATAAATATCTTCCGTGCCGACAGCTTGACGATAGGTCATCGAATATTCGGGACATTTGCGTGAATCCAATAAATCGGCATCTTCTTGTTCTTGCTGTTCGTGCCATTCTTCGATGGTGGTGGGTTGTTTGGTGTGAGGTTGGGTGTCTGCAGCCTTCAAAGGGGCATATGGGGAATTGAAGGATTTTGAATCTCCTTTAGAGGATTTTGTCTCTTGGGGTCCCAAATTTCCAGGATCTAGAATGGATTTTTTTCTTCCGTATTTTAATTTTGTTTCATTAGCTTCTAAAGATGGACTTACTTAAATTTTGTTTAATTAACGGATCTCCCTCTTCCTCCAAATCCGATTCATCATCCCGTGACTCCTCGGTATTCAGAAGGTTCCTGAGCAATTTTAAATTTTCCACATTTTCAAACAAGGACATTTTTGGGGGAGGTCTAGTATGTTTTTAGTTTTTGTGTGCTGCCAGCTTCTGTTGTTTTCGAATTAATTCGAAAATTTCAAATTTGTTTTGAAAACATGTTTGGAAGGTTGCCATGGCAATGGTTGTTGATTTGGGCAAACATTGTCATGACGAAGGGTTTCTGGCATGGTTTATGCCATGGGTTTCGGGAAAGGATTAAAGGAAATAGTTTTGAAGGACCTACAATAGGATCGAATTTTTAAATATGGATTTTTAATAGTTATGGTTTTTCTATACCCTCCACCATTGTATGAAGGGTATATTAGTTTTGTTTTTCCATTTGTAACGCATCGAAATAATCATTCCGATAAAGTATATATATTCTTTATCCGCGTAAAATTCTATGACGATGTAAGCATGTCCGCCTGTCCGTCTTTCGGTTGTAATCACTCTAGCGTCTAAACGAATTGAGATAGATCGCCAAAATTTTGCATAGAGTCGTCTTTTGTCTGCAGGTAAGGTCAAGTTCGAAGATGGGCTACATTGGTTCAAGTGTAGGCATAGCTCCCATATAAGGGTACACCCCAATTTTCGGTACTTTGAGGTTCTTGAGCGCGTTTTTCAACTGAATTGAGTTCTTATTCGGTATCAAATCTCAATACTAAAAATTATAAATATGGGTCCATTTTTTCGCATAGCCCCCATATAAGGGTACCCCCAATTTTTTCGGTACTTTGAGATTCTTGAGCGCGTTTTTCAACTGAATTCGTAAAAAAATTGGATATTTTGAGTTTTTATTCGGTAGCAAACCTTTCTACTAAAAATTATAGGTCAATTTTTTCGGATAGCCCCCATATATGGGTACACCCTAATTTTCGGTACTTTGAGGTTCTTGAGCGCGTTTTTCAACAGAATTCGCTGAAATTTGGTACTTTGGATTCTTATTGGGTAGCAAATCTCTCCACTAAAAATTATAAATATGGGTTCATTTTTTCGGATAGCCCCCATATAAGGGTACACCCCAAATTGTTCGGTATTTTGGGGGTTCTGATCGTATTTTTCGACCGAATTGGCTGTAATTTAGTACTACGAGTTCTTATTGCGTAGGAAATTTCTCGACTACATATTATAAATATCGGTCCATTTTTTCGGAAAGCCCCTATATAAGGGTACCCCCAAATTTTTCGGTATTTTGGGGGTTTTCATCGCATTTTTAGTCCGAATTCGCTGAAATTTGGTATTTTGAGTTCTTATTCGGCAGCAAATCTCCTGATTAAAAATTATAAATATAGGTCCATTTTTTCGGATAGCCCTCATATAAGGATACCCCTCAATTTTCAGTATTTTGGGGTTCTTGAACGCGATTTTTAACCAAATTTTGTTGTAAGTTGGTCATTTGTAGTCGCATATGGTAAGAAATCTCCCTACCAAAAATTATTAATATTCGCCCCATTTTAGGGGTAGTCCCCATTCAACCCCATTTTTATACCCTTCACCACATTGTGCTACAGGGTATTATGTCTTTGTGCATATGTTTGTAACAGGCAAAAGGAAACGAGATAGACACATGGTTCCTTTTGAGAATATGCATCGAATCACTTTCTGTGTCGATTTATTCATGTCCGTCCGAGTTAGTTTCGGAAAAATTGGTTCAGATTTCGATATAGCTCCCATATATATTTTCGTCCGATTTTATGTAAATGGTGTACCAAAGTCCCTATTTATCTTTCGATTTGCACGATATTTGGCATGGTGTACTAAATTAGGTCTAGAATCATGTGTATTAAGTTCCGAGAAAATCGGTTCAGATTTAGATAGAGCTCCCATATATATTTTCGTCCGATTTTATGTAAATGGTGCACCAAAGTCCCTATATATTTCGATATGTGCGAAATTTTGCATGGTGTACACAATTGAGTATAGAATTACGTGTGCCAAATTTCGATAAAATCGATTCAGATTTAGATATAGCTCCCATATATATATTTTCGTCTGATTTTAGGTAAATGGTGCACCAAAGTCCTTATATAACTTTCGATTTGCACGAAATTTGGCACAGCGTACTGAATTAGGTCTAGAATGATGTGTGTTAAGTTTCCTGAAAATCGGTCCAGATTTAGATATAGCTCCCATATATAGGTTCGTCCGATTTAAGTTAAATGGGGCACCGAAGTGCCTATATATCTTTCGATTTAAACGAAATTTGACACAGGGTCCTGAATTAGGTCCACAATGGTATGTGCTAAGTTTCGAGAAAATCGGTTCAGATTTAGATGTTTCTCCCATATATAGTTTTGTCCCATTTTATGTAAATGATGCACCAAAGTCCCCATATATACCTTTCGATTTGCATGAAATTTGGCATATAGTTCTGAATTAGGTCTAAAATGATGTGTGCTAAGTTTCGTAAAAATCGGTTCAGATTTAGATATAGCTCCCATATATAGTTTTGTCCGATTTTATGTAAATAGTGCACCAAAGTCCCTATATATCTTTCGATTTGCACGAAATTTGGCATAGAGTACTGCATTAGGTCCAGAATAACGTGTGTCAAGTTTCGAGAAAATCGGGTCAGATTTAAATATAGCACCCATATATATATTCGTCCGATTTAAGGTAAATGGGGCTCCAAAGTCCCTATATATCATTCGATTTGCATGAAATTTGGCATATAGTTCTGAATTAAGCCTAGCATGATGTGTGCTAAGTTTCCTGAAAATCGGTTCAGATTTCGATATAGCTTCCATATATATTTTCGTCCGATTTTATGTAAATGGTACACTAAAGAACCTATATATCTTTCGATTTGCACGAAATTTGGCACAGCCTTATGACTTAGGTCCAGAATAACGTGTGTCAAGTTTCGAGAAAATCGTTTCAGATTTAGATATAGCTCCCATATATAGTTTCGTCCGATTTAAGGTAAATAGTGTACCAAAGTTCCTATATATCTTTCGATTTGCACGAAATTTGGCAGAGCGTAATGGATTAGGTCCTGAATGATGTGTGTTCAATTTCGTTAAAATCGGTTCAGATTTAGATATAGCTCCCATATATAGTTTTGTCCGATTTTATGTAAATGGTGCACCAAAGTCCCTATATATCTTTCGATTTGCACGAAATTTGGCAATGGCGTAATGGTCTAGAATGGTGTGTGCTAATTTTTCTGAAATCGGTTCAGATTTAGATATAGCTTCTATATCTGACCAAATGAAAAATGTAGTATAGGTTGCAGAATGACATGTTTATGGATCCAATTTCATTTTACTGGTTCTTTAAAAATGCGACGTCTGTTAGGATTCATCTGTTGAATATAGACAAAGTGGTGAAGGGTAGCATATAGTCGGCCCTGTCCGACTTTACTGCTTTCCTTACTGGTTTAAAATTTATGTTTGGCTACCTACAATAGGCCTGGATTTTTTAAAAATTATTTTTGGCCTCTGACAATAGGCGTGGATTTTTTAAAGGTTATTTTTTGTGGCCTCTTACAATAGGCGTAGATTTTTTAAAGATTACTTTTTGGCCACTTAGAATAGGCGTGGATTTTTTAAAGATAATTTTTGGCTACCTACAATAGGCGTGGATTTTTTAAAGATAATTTTTGGCTACCTACAATAGGCGTGGATTTTTTAAAGATTATTTTTTGTGGCCTCTTAAAATAGGCGTAGATTTTTTATTTAAAGATTAATTGTTGGCCACCTACAATAGGCGTGGATTTTTTAAAGATTACTTTTTGGCCACCTACAATAGGCGTGGATTTTTTAAAGATTTCTTTTTGGCCACCTACAATAGGCGTGGATTTTTAAAGATTACTTTTTGGCCACCTACAATAGGCGTGGATTTTTTAAGGATAATTGTTGGCCATCTTTGGTCTTTGTCTTCCTCCCATTTCCAGTTAATGCTTATTTAATTCCATATATTTAACCGCAAAAGTAAAAAAATATTTCCATCCGAACTTCCGAAGTAAAAGTGAAATTTGTAATAAATTATTGGCTGTGGCTGAAAAGTTGGTAGCAAAAATATCCTGCATTAGCGATGATGTTGCTGCCATTGGCCAAGTTAACACAAAAGAAAGAGAGTAATGATACGGTTGAGGAGGTGGAGGAGGAGGTCTGCAAATTTGCGTACTAAACTTTTTGTTGGTTAATAGTTGTTGTTGTTGTTTTTGTTCGCTTTTCTTCTTCTTCTCGGGGCCATTATTATTTTGCACTGGAAATTTATGAAATACGAAAAAATCGTATTCTAAATGTTAAATGGCCAGTGTTGAATGAAATGATTTTCAAGTTTGTTGAAAGTACTTCATAAAAGGACAGCCTCAACAGAAACTATTGTGAAGCCTTGAACTCGTCAAAGTGTTGGGATTGTTGTAGTTGTTGTTGGGAATCGGATGAAGGTGAGGTGTGGAGGATGAAGAGCAGAGTTTGTTATTTAGAAAATGAAAGTGACTGCAGGCCATTGGGGAAAGTTGGTTATTAAGGTTAGAGTTATGGGTGAATTAAAGTCAGTTATTGGAGAAAGAAAGGATATACAAAGGCGTGGTTTTATAAAAAAAATTTGAGGTCCTACAATAGGTGTGGATTTTTCAAACAATATTTTTGAGGTCCTACAATAGGCGTGGATTTTTTAAAACTTTTTTAGGGCGCGGATTTTTTAAAACTTTTTTTAGGTCGCGGATTTTTTAAACATTACTTTTAGGGCTGTGCGATGCAAGAAGTCGCCTGGGTTGGACGGTTTGACTGGAGAGATGTGTAAAATCATCTGGAAGGTCATTCCAGAATTCCTAGAGGCTCTGCCAAGTGTGTTCGCTTGGGCATTTTCCCGAAGGCGTGGAAATCTGCGAAGGTCATCGTGCTACTGAAGTCGCCTGATAAGGTTAGGAGTAATCCTCGATCTTATCGGGGCATCAGTCTTCTTCCAGTGCTTGGAAAAGTACTGGAGAGGATTATGGTGCAGCGGCTTCAGGAGCGGTTGGCTGGAACAGAGAGCGAGTGGCAGTTCGGCTTCAAACCAGGCCTTGGTGT